TTTTTCTTAATATTGAACTTTTTATTCTTAACATTGAACTTTTTATTCTTAAAATTGAACTTTTTTCTTAATATTAAACTTTTGTTTTCTTAATATTGAACTTTTTTCTTAATATTGAACTTTTTATTCTTAACATTGAACTTTTTATTCTTAAAATTGAACTTTTTTCTTAATATTAAACTTTTGTTTTCTTAATATTGAACTTTTTTCTTAATATTGAACTTTTTATTCTTAACATTGAACTTTTTATTCTTAAAATTGAACTTTTTTCTTAATATTAAACTTTTGTTTTCTTAATATTGAACTTTTTTCTTAATATTGAACTTTTTATTCTTAATATTGAACTTTTTATTCTTAAAATTGAACTTTTTTCTTAATATTAAACTTTTGTTTTCTTAATATTGAACTTTTTATTCTTAATATTAAACTAAAATTCCAAAATAACAAAAATTTAGTTTAAAGTAAAAAATAATTCTATAATTATCCCACCTCAAATTCTGCTCATAATTTTGATCAAGATGTTCGTTATTACAATTTGTTATTATGGATATTTTTCTAGTATTATAATTATCGATTGATTGATTGATTGATTGATCCATTAGATAACTGAAGTGTTTCTTGACAGCTAGATAATAAACAAGTTAATCAGGTTAATTGAATATGAGGATGTTTTGTCTTAGACAACTGTATTGTTGGGCTGTGTTGTATTTCATTGTACAGGGTGTCCCACCAAACATGAATATTAAGAGAAATTTGAGGGTCGTCTTTGATTTTAAAACTAATTTGCGGCATTCAATAGTCAACCTACCTTTAAAAAAATACATCTTGACAAAAAAGTAAAAAACTCCCCTGGATCAAAAATGTTGTCTTTCTTCTATTGTGCTTTCAATTACTTGAGATTTAAAATAAAAAATTTCAGATTTCACTTTATAAAATATAACTTAAAATTGTTATGACGAAATATTAAATGCTACAAATGAATTCTAAGATCTTCAAATCGCTACGCTGTCATGTTTAATGACGACATAAATACTATAAAGGTTTAATTGGTTTTCTTCATTTAACAGTAAAGCAGTAATTTATTGCTGCAATAATACAAAATATCATTAAAAGACGAAAATACATCTGCTTTCTAACCCTATCACGGTGGGAGGAGGGAATTATTTTGCATAGGGTAGGGTAGAGAGAGGCCCGTAAAACAGCTTGTCTGTGTTTTAAATAAATCAAAATGTCCATAACTTTTTACTATTTAAGGTACAGATGTAAAACGTACTTATTTAAAAACCCTTGAAAAAGTTGAACTGATATGAGTCACATGTTCATATCAAGAAAAAAATGTTTTCGAAATTTGTTTTGCTTTTTTAAAACCTCTATTTTTTTCCAATGCCTTGAAAAGTTGGAATCATAGAGATAATTGTATCACCATATTTTATCTCAACTCTAAGGGCAAAATCTATATAGACAAAAATAGCCCTATCGGTTATAGGGTTGATTGCGTATTTCTTTAAGTAAAATTGCCAAAGGTATTCATTGTAAAAAATAAATCTGCGCATACTGGAATATAAACTATTTTAATTTTGAATAATAAATTAATCTGCAAAATTTCATAATTTAAAAAGGCGTAAATTAATCCAATAACCAAGCTTAACACAATTTCAATCATAATGCAAATTTTCAAGCCCAACAAAAAGTTTTTTTTTACACATTTCCACTCTAGAAACAGATTAATTTTTTTCGCACATTTCCACTCTAAAAACAGATTATTTTTGCCAAAATAGTTGGTGCAGTTCTTTGAATTAATTATTATATTATAATAAAAGTATTGATCAAACATGCTTAAACTTTCAAAAATGTCAGAAAACACGAAACTAAAATTCTTTGAATAAATAGTGCTAGATATTTCTAACGATTAGTGTCTATATTCTTTGTGCGAAATCTCTAAAAGTTTGTTCTTCATAAGCAACATGTTTTTTTTGGTCCGATTTAAACATTTTAAAAGCAAATTATAAAAATTAAGATTTTGCACTTTATATGTCCTGAGCTGAAAACTTAAGAATGGATAAACTTTAATCCTGACTTCTTGATCCGAATATCCACTGTGGAAACTTTCACCAATGAGAATATTTCTGTTCTCTCATTGGTTGCCTGCTTTTCTCTGATTGGCTGCTACAGTTTCTCAGATGATTAAATATTAATTTAAATTTTATCGTTTTTCATACATTTTTAAGATAATCTTGCAAGATTATGTTAATCTGGAGATCAAGAAAAAGAGTGGATTAAGCCTTAATCCCGATATCCACCATTCAAAAGTTCCCAGCTCTGGAAAAAAATCATTCAAAGCTAACTTTAGATTTTTTAATAAGTACTAATTTTAGGGCTTTAGGGGGTTTAAACCGCTTTATTCTGATTATTTTTGTATTGTTAAATTATATGTGCATGAATATTGGAATAATGATAATCTATAATCTTAATTATTGATTAATGGTTTATGTAATTACAACAAGTTTTAAGTAATAATGTAAAGTTTTAATATTTATTCATACTACAGTGGTCGGCGATTATATAAATACAAT